TCCCCATCTTAAAGTTGAACATGTTCTCCAAGCCCCGCCACACCGGCAAACTGGCTTGGCTCAGAGGCGGTATTTGTCTCTTTAAATCCCTTCTCCAAGCCAGCCTGCGTGGGGGGCTTGGAGGACACATTTAAAGTTAAAGTTGTTTTCTTTCCACTTCTCCCTTTCTCCCTCCCTCCACATCTACTCCCTCCCTCCCTCCCTCTCTCTCTCTCTCTCTTTCTCTCTTTCTTTCTTTCCACCTTTCTTTCTATCTTTCTTTCCTCCCTCCCCACCTAAAGTTGAATGTGTTCTCCAAGCCCCGCCACACCGGCAGACTTGCTTGGCTCAGAGAAGGCGGTTGTCTCTTTAGCCTAACATGCAAATTTGCATATTTTTCAATAAAAACGTGTGTTCCTAACTTGTGGCTCTCAAACATCTGACGTTTATTCTGTGCGGTTCTCCCCTTGAGCAAGTTTGGCCACCCCTGACCTAGACGAGGGGGGGGGGGGGCCTTCTGATCTCCTCCATCCGGTTCCTATTGCAGATGACGGGACGGGACCTGAGAAAATTGCTCACATTATGGGTCCCCCGGACAGATGTGAGCACGCCGCCAGGATTATCAATGACCTCCTCCAAAGTCTCCGGGTATGAAGCACCCTGTGCGTATGTTGGTTGGGGGGGGGGTCGCCTCAAGGAAACAGAACGGCCATCCAAAACGTCTTACGTACCCGTTGAATAAATTTCAAAAAGTCGTTTTTAAAAAGTCCTTGGTCAGATCTTCCCATGCTTTAAAAAGAAGGAGAAGAGATTGGATCCATACCCCGCCCTTCGCTCAGAGTCTCAGAGCGGCTTGCAAACTCCTTTCCCTCCCCACAACAGACACCCTGTGAGGTAGGCAGGGCTGAGAGAGCTCTTGAGAGAACAGCTCTGACAGAACTTGTGACTGACCCAAGGAGGTCACGCCAGCAGCTGCATGGGGACGAGTGGGGAATCAAACCCGTTTCTCCCAGATCAGAGTCCACGCACTTAACCACGACACCAAACTAAGATGTTGAAGCTTAGTGGGAAAGACAAGAATGCTTCAGAAAGCGGGAAGGCATCAGGAAAAGAGGGGGAGACCCAACTGGAGTTGGATTGAACTCGATCCAGGAAGCCACGGCCCCCCGTTTGCAAGGCTGTTAATGGGGGGACATTTCGAAGGACACGTAATTCACGGGGTCCGCCATAAGTTGGGAGCAGCCGGAGGACACTTAACACAGACGCAACACCCACACAACCAGCAGGGATACTCACTCCGTGGCTTGTTGGACAGTCACCTTTGCAGGTGCTGTCCTTGGCGTCAGGTCTGCCCCTCAGGGAGGCTTGCAGCCGGCCTGTTCCTCTGGTGGTGGCACTTTCAAGGTGGGAACTACATGCTCCATCCCCCCCAGCCTAGGGGCCTTGCCTACTTACCTAGAACATGGGGCAGGTGGCCACCTGGGGGGACGGGGCTCAGAAGGGCCACAGGTGGCACGTCCAAGAGCCGTGGGTGCCTCCCGAGCCACTGAGTGAGCATCACCTCAATAAGGACCTTACCTTTTTATTAGCCCCTGGCGAAGAGAGCCAGTGTGGTGTCGTGGTTAAGTGTGCGGACTCTAGGACTCTAATCTGGGAGAGCCGGGTTTGATTCCCCACTCCCCGACTTGCAGCTACTGGATGACCTTGGGCAAGCCATGGTTCTGATAAGAGCTGTCCTTGAAAAAAGAGCAGTTCTTAAAGAGCTCTTTCAGCCCCACCTACCTCACAGGGTGTCTGTTGTGGGGAGGGGAAGGGAAAGGAGATTGTAAGCCGCTCTGAGACTCCTTTGGGTAGTGAAGGGCGGCAGGGTAGAAACCCAATCTCCTCTTCTTCTAAGATTGGATCCACGTCTGAGTACAGTTTTCTTCCCTAGCAATGACTTGGGTCTCTCAGACAGAACTGAGAAGGTTCTCTGTTCCCTATAAGAAGATTTCCAGGGACTGCTGTTTCCTTTCATTTATGGCACTGCTCCCCCAAGCATGTTGCAGAGAATTCGGGGGCTTGCTGCGGTCTGCACTGGTGGTAGCCAGGCCTCCTGAGCTTTGCCGCTTAGATTATTCATATGTTGGCTTCCCACTTCAAAATCTCTCAAAGTGGGTTTATATCTCAGTACCACACAAAATGATTATAAGGAGTACAGTAAAGGTTCCAAAGAAACAATTGAAACCAGTGCAGCATTTCACAGTTTCTTAGAAACCAGGATAAGAACTTATTTTAAGACCGCCCGAAATGAAAAGTATCTTTCGACCAGCAAGAGAAGTCCTGTAACGAAAGCTTGTTACCTCTCTTTCTCTAAGAGTGTATCGTGTAACATATGCAGCGCTTCCTCTTGGGCCCACATTGGAAGACCTCGTTAGCGCTGGGCAGGCTGTCTTTCCCGGGGACTCGTTTCCCGTTGCCGAGCTTCTCGTTGAGGGTTCTGCAGAATGCGCTTCAAAGGGGCACCGCTCTCCAGCATGCGCACTGCATCCTGAGAACTAACTAGAGGTGGGCACAGACTGGCTCACGAACAAAAGTTCGTGGCGAATTCTGACCCGTTTGTGGTTTGCAAGGCGATGTTCATGAACTCAAGAGCCACCACGAACACCCACAAATTTTAAGGCAGTTCGCGTAGAGTAGAAAGCAGAGGTTTAAATGACTCTGCGTGAAAAGCAGCAGGGAGTGGAAAGGCAGGGGTCACTAACTGAGACGAACTGGTTCGGTTCATGAACTGAGCTCCCAGTTCGTATCAGTTTGCCGAACGGCAAGAATTGGTTTGTGCCCATCCTTGACTGAAATGTTTGTGGTTCTTCTTGTTCTTAAAGGCTGTGCGTAATCACCCTTGGTTCTAGTTTTCCTTCCCCCATTAAAAGGAACTCTTGTCGCTGTTTTACAGAGTGGGCCACCAGGTCCCCCGGGCTCAGGGATGCCGCCTGGAGGCCGTGGCCGTGGCCGAGGCCAGGGTAATTGGGGGCCTCCTGGAGGAGAGATGACCTTCTCGATCCCCACTCACAAATGTGGGCTGGTTATTGGCAGAGGTGAGTGTCTTGTGCCGTTCAGCTTTGCTTCAGCTGTCTTGAGGCAGCTGTAATCAGGGCAGGGATCTAAGATATCAGCCCCCCCGTGATCAATAATGGCCTCTTCCAGGAGGAGAAAACGTCAAAGCCATCAACCAGCACCGCAAAGATCAGATCGAGCATGTGTCCGGCCCGATGCGTGGGAGCCGAAAAGATTGCTAGCTTGAAGCCTGGTTTCCCCCTTCCCATTAATGTCAGAGTATGAATGACTGAGGATATCAGTGATAGCACTGTAACTTTCCAAAACAGCTTCTGTGGCTTTTGCATGTGCATCCCACCTAGTGTCTGACAAATATTTAGGTACGGCGGGTCTCACTTCAACCTGTTTCCTTGCTTCCTTAGGGTCCGCTCTGCCCTGTAGGACCGGGGCCTGGGCCTGGGGGCCCCCCGGGGCCAGCACCAATGGGCCCCTTCAACCCCGGGCCTTTCAACCAAGGGCCGCCTACAGCACCTCCCCAGTAAGTGCCAGGGCTGCGCGAGCGTGCCTTCCCCGTCGGCCGGTTTCTGTTCCGCTTGGAGGTGGCGGGGACGTTTTCTAGCTTTCACAGTCTCTGTGGGACTCGGAGGTGGAGAGAATCCTGCATGCTGCTAATTGTGGGAGGGGAGGGGCCGTGGCTCCGTGGCAGAGCATCCGCTTGGCCTGCAGGAGGGTCCCGGGTTCAATCCCCCAGCATCTCTGAGCCCGTGTGGGGACCTTTGGAAGTCTGACACGTGATGTCAGGCACAACGGCTGCTGCAGGAGGCAGAGCCATAGATATAAGCACAAGGGAGAAGAGGGGTAATTAAGGAATAATTAAAGAACAGACGAGCGCTGAGATCAACTGGTAGCGAGGTACTGCCGACACACACCCCCCCCGGAGGTCTGGCTGTCCTCGGCCAGGGCCTTTTCGGTCCTGGCCCCCGACGTGGTGGAACTCCCTGCCGAGCGACATCAGGGCCGTGTGGGATCTGACGCGATCCCACCGGGGCCTGCAAGGCAGAGACGTTCCGCCGGGCTTTTGGTTGGGGGCAGTGACGGCAAAGACTTCTTTACTTTTGGCCCCGCTTCCCCTTCTCCGCCCTGCCGCGCAGAGAGTCCGGCCGCCGGCAAAAAAGGGGGTTTGATCGCCGTCTGGACTGGTGGTTTTATTAGTGCATCGTAATCATTTTTATCACGATTGTCACGATTGTCTTTTATCTGTTTCAATGCTGTCAACCACCCAGAGCCTGTGTGCGGGGTTGGGCGATTCAGAAAACTTATAAATGATGATAATAATTAATTAATTAAAGATTACCCTGGGACTGTGATGGCCGCTGCCGCTGGAGCATTGTCATTTTAATCTACATCGTCATTTTAATCCACCTGGGCAAGGGCCACACGCCAATGTTCCCTCTAAGCTGTGGAGTCTTGTGAGCAAAATTTCTACTTTGTGAGCTGCTGGCATTAAAGTTGTGAGCGAGCGAGTTGGCTGCTGCGTAAAAGAGTTTGCTCTGGAGCCCCATCCTTCCTGAACGAAGACAAAAATGTGTGAGCCGGAGGCTACAAAACTGTGAGCTAGCTCACACTAACTCGGCTTAGAGGGAACACTGGTCACAAGCAATGCTCCCTCTTAAGCTGTGGGGTCTTGAGAGCAGAAACCCTACTTTGTGAGCTGCTGGCATTAAAGTTGTGAGCGAGCGATTCGGCTGCTGCGTGAATTAGTTTGCTCTGGACTGGAGCCCTCCTCCCTGAGCTAAGACAAAAATCTGTGAGCTGGAGGCTAAAATTCTGTGAGCTAGCTCACACTAACTCAGCTTAGAGGGAACACTGGCCACACCCACTTTCTAGAAGGTGCCGTGGGCCGGCCACAGATCTCCCACCCCCGAGGACTCTGGAGGCTTTCATTTATCCAGTCGCACCTGCAGAAAATAACCGCCAGTGACCCTTCCCCTCTTCTTCTCTCCAGCCCAGGTGGGCCGCCGCCTCCACAGTACCCGCCCCAAGGCTGGGGGAACGCCTACCCCCAGTGGCAGCCGCCGGCCCCTCATGACCCAAGTGAGTACAGCGGTCCCCCGTTTATGGGCCAGGATCCGCAGGCCGTCGCAGGGGGCCAGAAGCGTCCAGCTCCCTGCGTTGTCTCCTTTCCAGGTAAAGCGGCTGCCGCGGACCCCAACGCGGCTTGGGCGGCCTATTATTCGCACTACTACCAGCAGCCTCCCGGTCCGGTTCCGGGAGCACCGCCCGCCCCCACGGCGCCACCCGTGCAAGGGGAGCCACCCCAGCCGCCCCCCACCGGACAGTCGGACTACACTAAAGCATGGGAGGAGTACTATAAAAAGCTAGGTAAGTGACTCTGGGGCTGGCTGGCTGGGCAGGCGAAACACTCTGTGCCCCAGTTTCCCGCTGGCATTTAACTTGGGAATCCCTTCAGCTCCACTGCGGGGAGGGCGAGAGCCCAAGTCCCTCAGGCAGCCTGGCTTGATGCTTTCCCCAGGGTTTCTGACTTGGGGGGAGGGGGGTGCTTTCTCTCCAGTTCGGGAAAAACCAAGAGGGGGTCATAGGCAATGTTCCCTCTAAGCCGTGGAGCCTTGTGAGCAAACATTCTGCTTTGCGAGCTGCCGGCATTAAAGTTGTGAGCGATCGATTTGGCTGCAGCATAAATTAGTTTGCTCTGGAGCCCTCCTTCCTGAGCCGAGACAACAATGTGTGAGCCGGAGGGTAAAAAAATGTGAGCTGGCTCACACTCACGCAGCTCAGAGGGAACACTGGTCTCAGGTATCCATGAGGAAAATACAACAAACACTGTGACATGAGTGACTAGAACATTTAGTAAAGAGCCTTTGAGTGAGACCATTCTGCCAGCCGCCTTTCAAATTGAGGGCTTCTAGCCAGCAGAAAAGAGGACTGGTGCTACTACTATAAATATTTTTACGGTGTTCTCATGGAGCATTTCAGCCAGCATAATATAGGAGGCTTGTTCACCTTGTTAAAGAGACAAGGCTGACTTGCTCCTAATACGAACACTCGAAGTGGAACCAGATCATAAAGTACAGAAAATAAAGAAGACGTTAAGCATTGGTTTGCTCCTAACAGACACTGAACTGTTTCATAGCATCGTAGAATGTTAGAGCTGGAAGGGACCTTGCAGGTCATCTAGCCCAACCCCCTGCACTCTGCAGGAGCATAGCCAAAAGATAGCCCTACAACAGTGAAGGCGAACCTTTTAGAGACCGAGTGCCCAAACTGACCGAAAACCCACTTATTTATCGCAAAGTGCCAACACGGCAATTTGACCTGAATACTGAGGTTTTACTTTAGAAAAAACAACTCATACATTAACTTAAGAGGATCCAAACAAAGTAAGGAAAGCAATCCCAAATGCTTTCATTTACTTAAAATTATTTGGCAGAGAATTCGACACTTTAATGGTGGTCTGGGCCTGGCTAGGGCGATGGCACACATGCCCACAGAGAGGGCTCTGAGTGCCACCTCTGGCACCCGTGCCATAGGTTTGCCACCACTGCCCTACAACATACCTGAAAGAGGGTCGTCCAGCCTCCGCTTGAAAACGTCCAGCGAAGGTTTCAAGAGGCTGATACCTTGCTATACAATAGGAGTACTCCTGAGGAAGACTGGGATGAAATGAGTTTATATCCGGGTGCGCCTTGTAATTTCGTAACGTCTTATTGAGAGTATGATGAACTTCTCCAGTTTGGAAGGCAATAGCGGTGACCCTTGATCATTTTATTCATTCATTCATATTTATAACCCGCCCTTCCTGCAAGCAGGCTCAGGGCCGGTAACAGCATTTCAGTAGTTCGGTAAATCCCCCTGTCTTGGGAGAGGGTGGGGTTGCAGAGCGTGTTGTGAGTCTCAAGCCAGAGGGGCACTAACACCTCTTGGTGAGCATCTCCACTCTTGATGAGCCCCTACTGGCCACACTCTGCTCAGAAGGAGAGGAAGGCCCAGGCCCGTAGCCGCAGCGGGGCATCTCGGGGCTAGGGGCCCCCCCCCACGACCTCCCATCCAGCCCAGGGCCCCCAAGCTGTGGAAAATGCGGGGAAGGAGCCGGGTATTCCTTTAATTTGGTTAGCCAGTGCCCCCTAAGAAATCTAGATGCCCCCTGACTTAAAAAGTCCTGGCTACAGCCCTGGGAAGGCCAAAGTTGGCCACTGTTGCCCCACACTCTGGAGATGACCTGAGTGTAGTATTGGAGACCAGGCCCTTCCCCTCCCACCCTGGGCCTGTTCCCAGCGACCACCCATCCTGTCTTGTCTGCTCGAGCCCTGGTGGTATTACCAGCGGCCTCCAAAGGCCTTACTCTCAGCATCCAAATCCTGTAGGGGAGGCCAGTGTTCCCTTCTAAGCCGTGGGCATGAGCGGTCGCTCATGGACACAGGACGCCCCCTGCTCAGCAGCAACCTGGAGCCACGCAGGGCCTTGCGCTGCCCGTTGCTCGTTTTAAGATGACAGCGGTTCTATTCTGCTCGGGATGTGGACGGCTCTGCTCAGTGGGGGGGGGGGATTTGTTGCAAAAATAGGCAAAACTACTTAAATACTCAGAGTTTACAATGGATCTTTGCTTCACTGGAGAGGAGACATTTCTTTCTATGTAAAAAAGCTTTATTTATAAGGGAAAGGTTCACAGGGAAAGCTACAAAACAAAAGAGATATCTAGAGCTACATTTTCACATCTTTACAGCTACAGACACATGGTCACACACAACAATGGAGTTTCTTCTTCTTCTTGACCCCTAGAAGGAAGTCACCCAAACACAGTAACCAATGATTGCTAGTAAATAGACTTAGATTTTCCTGGGCTCTCTTCCCTAGAAGGAAGTCACCCAAACACAGTAACCAATGATTGCTAGTAAACAGACTTAGATTTTCCCGGGCTCTCTTCCCATTAGCTCTGAGCCAAGTTTCCCTTCCAGGTCAGTCTAAACAATAGTACACAAGGTAAAACAGATTAACCCTGTAATGACTGGAATCTCGACCTTGCACCTCACACATTTCCAACGGAATTTAGAGGGAAGACTGGGAGCGGAAGACTCCCTCTGGGTCAGTCGAGAGCTCTGCCTGACCCACACCCCGTTCTCCTTTGACCTCCCTTGCAGGCCAGCAGCCCCAGCAGCCCGGAGCTCCACCGCAGCAGGACTATACGAAAGCTTGGGAAGAGTATTATAAGAAGCAGGGTGAGTTTGGTGCCAGGGCGGCTTGGGGAGTTGGTTGCAGTGCTTCTGCCGTCAGGCCGGGCCGGGGGTTGGCATTGGCTTTGCCTGATCGAGCCTCTCTCTCTCTCCCCCTCCCCCTCTCCCCTTGGGAAAGCAGCTCAGGTAGCTACAGGAGCAGCAGGGCCAGCGGCACCCCCAGGCCCTCAGCCAGACTACAGTGCGGCCTGGGCAGAATACTACAGACAACAAGCTGCCTACTACGGACAGACGCCTGGGGCCGGGGGGCCGGTGCCACCGCCCACACAGCAGGGACAGCAGGTGAGTTACTTTTCACGGGCTCTCTTCCCATTGGCTCTGAGCCAAGTTTCCCTTCCAGATCAGTCTAAACAATAGTACACAAGGTAAAACAGATTAACCCTATAATGACTGGAATCTCGACCTTGCACCTCACACATTTCCAACGGAATTTAGAGGGAAGACTGGGAGCGGAAGACTCCCTCTGGGTCAGTCGAGAGCTCTGCCTGACCCACACCCCGTTCTCCTTTGACCTCCCTTGCAGGCCAGCAGCCCCAGCAGCCCGGAGCTCCACCGCAGCAGGACTATACGAAAGCTTGGGAAGAGTATTATAAGAAGCAGGGTGAGTTTGGTGCCAGGGCGGCTTGGGGAGTTGGTTGCAGTGCTTCTGCCGTCAGGCCGGGCCGGGGGTTGGCATTGGCTTTGCCTGATCGAGCCTCTCTCTCTCTCCCCCTCCCCCTCTCCCCTTGGGAAAGCAAAATAGGTAGCTACAGGAGCAGCAGGGCCAGCGGCACCCCCAGGCCCTCAGCCAGACTACAGTGCGGCCTGGGCAGAATACTACAGACAACAAGCTGCCTACTACGGACAGACGCCTGGGGCCGGGGGGCCGGTGCCACCGCCCACACAGCAGGGACAGCAGGTGAGTTACTCAAGGGTACCCGGCAGGGCCCTTCTCTTGGGGAACCGCCCGCAGGAAATGTACAGTGCCGGGCTTAAAGCCAAACTCCCGGGGGCAGGAAATTATGTGTAATCCTTTTTTCTTTGTCATTCGGAGCAATTGGGATTTTAATCTCCTCCCCCCCCCCCCCCCCCCGCTTTCGCCCCCCCCCCTGTCATTACTGCCCCTCCTAACTGGGCGGGGGGGGAAACAGTGTCTGTGACCTCATCATGCTGACTGGCGTGCTGTGGGAGGCGAGAGAGGGTGTCAGCTAGAAAGTTAGCCTTCCCTGGGAGGTACTTTATCCAAAGCAAGCTAATTGATGCAGCAGCCAAATCGCCCGCTCACAGCTTTAATGCCAGGAGCTCACAAAGTAGAATTTCTGCTCACAGGACTCCATAGCTTAGAGGGAGCATTGGTGGTGACCAGTGTTTCCTCTAAGCTGAGTTAGTGTGAGCTAGCTCACAGTTTTTTAGCCTCTGGCTCACACATTCTTGCCTTCGCTCAGGAAGGGATGGCTCCAGAGTGAACTAATTGATGCCGCAGCCCAATCGCTCGCTCACAGCTTTAATGCCAGTAGCTCACAAAGTAGAATTTTTGCTCACAGGACTCCACACCTTAGAGGGAGCATTGATTCCCCACCCTTTTAAAGCCTGCAGGTACTTTTGGCCTCTTGAGACAAGGTGGTGAGCACAGCTACAAGATGGCTGCCATGGGAGGCGGGGCCAACCACAAAATGGCTGCCGCGGGAGGCGGGGTCAACCACAAAATGTCAGGGAGTGAGGTCGTGCATCACTCCAACAGTAACTCTTCAGCATTTTAGGCAGTAGCTCTACTTGACAGGTTGCCTTTTGGTACGAACATATTGTGTAAAAGTGACCTCCATCAAATTTGCTGACCTCCAGCAAAGGTGCTCATGCTGTGGTGGGCGCCAAAACACCTTTTTTAAAAAAAAAATCTTCCCAGTCGATCAAATCTCCAGTGGCCAGTCTGAAGCCCTGCTGGGAAACCCCTACCTGGCCCTGCCAAGTTTCTATAAAAGTTAAATACTACAAATGAATGGAGGGAGGGGGGAGTTACGTGCAAGCCAGAGACACAAGTCGTTGGGCTTTTGAGCAGTGTTCCCTCTAAGCTGAGTTAGTGTGAGCTAGATCACCGTTTTTTAGCCTCTGGCTCACACGTTTTTGTCTTAGCTCAAGAAGGATGGCTCCAGAGCCAACTAATTCATGCCAGTAGCTCACAGAGTAGAATTTTTGCTCCAAGACCCCACAGCTTAGAGGGAGCATTGCTTTTGAGCACGGAGCGCACAGCCCTGAATATCAGTGAGAAAACTACGCCAAGTATGTGAGGTCAAGGCTCAGCTCAGCTTCTGCGTAGGCTTGCCTCTGGACTCTTCAGGCACCAGAGGGGCCCTGAGTTCAAGATTGGCCTCTCTGCCTCTGTCTTCCCACCGGCTGGACAGCGTAAGTAGCTCATTTGTGTTCGGAGATAAGATGAGAACGGAGGCCAAACTGGGAGCTGAGCGTAACGAAAAAGAGGACGGCTAAGTCAGGCCCGCAGCCTGTGCGGAGTGCGCAAGTTAAGCGGATTCCCCCGTCTCGGTTTAATGCAAACACTTCCGTTTCTGCTAGACATTTCAGATAAACCAGCTTCCTTCTTTCGCAGCTATACATAGTTTGTTTGTCCAATCACAGTACATGAGAACATCTAATGGAGGAGAGTTAAAAGTGCTAAACTGTGTATAATACAAATCTTAAGTGACAGTAAGAGCTTTCCTAATGTTTCAGAATTACTAAAGATACTGAGGACTGAGCGTGATCAGCGCGCTCAAAGAATAGATGTCTGAAAGGTGTAATAGATAATTAAGTGAAAAGTAACTTTAGATAGTAAGGAGCCGCGGTGACTCAAGTGGTTAAGACGCTGAACTGCAGGCTGTGGAAGGTCGGTAGTTCAGCAGTTCGAGACCCGAGTGTGCCGCATGACGGAGTGAGCTCCTGTCTCTAGTTCCAGCTCCTGCCAACCTAGCAGTTCTAAAGTAAGAAATTGCAAGTAGATAAATAGGTACCACTTAAGTGGGAAGGGAACAGCGTTCCGTGTGCCTTGGTGTTTAGTCATGCCGGCCACATGACCACGGAAACGTCTTCAGACAGCGCTGGCTCTTTGGCTTTGAAACGGAGATGAGCACCGCAACCCTAGAGTCGGACTCGACTGGCTTTTGATCAAGGGAACTTTTACCTTTACCTAACTTTAGATAAATCTCCTTGTACAGTCGGACATCATTACATGTTGCAGATTCTAGAAATGGGAACCATTTTGGGGGAGAAACGAGGTTGTTTGGGGAAAAGTTCTGAAATGTACTGGGTTCTAGACGCGTGTAGTGATTAGCTCATAGTTTATTAAGTGATTTCAGGAGAACATAAGACAACCCTAGCAGGACCGAAGCCCTGCTTATATCCATGCACACCCACACACACCCCACACACACACACACACACTCCCCCACACACACACACTCCCCCACACACACACACTCCCCCACACACACACACTCCCCCACACACACACTCCCCCCCACACACACACACTCCCCCCCACACACACACACACTCCCCCCGGGATAGGCTATTTACATCACACTGCTTATCTATTGGTCAATTCCAGGATCCTGGTCAGCTATTGTCCTTGGGGAGTAAGCTCACCCAGTTCAAAGTCCACATTCAGGGATGGCTTAGGCTCAATACATAACACCCTCTGGGCACTTCCTGGTTCTCCATTACTTGGCGATGCTCAGGGGTTCAATCTGGGTGTAGTCTGTCCAGTCGGGTGGTTAGGCGACTGCCCATGAGGAATGTGATCCGTAATGTTTTCCGTCATAAAAGAGGTCCCAAACTTTATTGAACCAGAACTCAATGGGGGAATGCTACAATATGAGTTCTCTCTCTCCAGTTTTGGCGGCAATACATCCTCAGTTAACCTTTGCACTGCTTCTTCTCTCCTCTCTCCCGACAGGCTCAGTGAGTTGAATGTGAACCTCCCCATCTCTGAGAATCTTTTTGTTTTTGGGGGGCGAGAGGTGGCCCGCTGCAGGAAGCAGCGGGGTGGGAAGGGAAGCCGGCCTGTTGCGCTGATTCGCTGGCCTTCTCCGGGCAGACCTTGGCCGACGCCGCCTTCGCGTCTCTTTAAAAGAAGTCAGATCCAAATCTCCAGACCCCCC